AGCAGGCTCAGGATCCAGAAAACCAAGCAGAGAAGAAGTCTGACAGCGAGGTGAGAGATTGAATGAACGTGTGGCTGAGTGTCAGATGAAAACACCTGTTCTGTACATTTTCCCTGCCGTACAGTACAAATGAAAAGAACACCGAGTTCAGGGTGATTGATATCAGCCTGTAGTGTGCAGCACAAACACTGAGCTGCAGACTCTTATCAGGGCTCGATGCTCTGTTTGGAAGAGCATCACCCACCAAGCTATTGTCGCCCATGTCACACGCACACAGCTGCCCGTGCGTGTGGACGCCTGATTTCCTTTAGCCCGTATCGAAGGCTGTTTCTGCAGGCGGCTGCAGCCTGGTCCAGCTGTGTCAACATGGCAGGGGCCTGCCGTCAGCTTTGATCCATCCAAGCATGGAAAGAACATTTCCCTTCAACACACAGCAGTGATGCTCGCTAACGGCCCACCGGTGGCCCATTTACGAGAGGCCCATATTTTCTTTCAGATCCCGCTGGCTGTACAGCTGAATGGCTCCTCAGAGCCTGTGTAGGAAACTGAAGCCCAGATCCCTCCATCAGACACAGAGCTGCCCTCTGTGCTGCCTGTTCCTGGCCTCTCCTCACTTCACTATCACCACCTGCTCTAGCTTTTTATTCTACTGTTTTCTTTGTTTTGCTTGTTTGTTTTTTCCTAGCAGTCCTTGTGTTTTGTTTTTAGTCTGACTCAACATTCCCACTGTCTTTTGCAGGTGACTGACCCTGGACATCACTCCCTGACCTCTACTGAGGCTCTGCAGATGGTCCCTGAACTTTCAGGAGGTAAAACTTCCTCTAATGCAACTAGTTTAGGAAGCTATTAAACAGTTATCAGATAATTTTCAAACATTTACTTGCTAATTTAAATACCCTTTGTAATATTTCTCAGATTTTAGACCAACTGACTTGTTCTGATATCAGTGTTTGTCAAAGTAACATGCTTATATAAAAAAACAATCAATAGTTAATTGTCCTTGAAGCTGTACCAGCTGTGAATCCAGTCAGTTCCACTTCTCATTCTATTCCATGTCCATATTTATAATTTAGCTGCAACTAATGTGAAGCATTTAAAGCTTCTTGAAGCACTTTTTTTTTTTTTTTTTAATCTTCTCATCTTAGAAGCTGGAAAATCAGGACAGTGAGCAACTTTGTGAGACTGTGCAAACCGTGAACACAGAATGTTTAGTCTATGACACCAATGATGCAAACAGAAATTAAATGTTTGTATCAAACATGCAGAGGATATTGTTGATTCATGGACCATGTGTGGTAAAGGTTTAGTTAAGCCCTTTTAACAGCCATGTCTTATCGGAAAATTCTATGACACTCGCAACACAGTCAGAGAAGATCAGGTCTGTTGATATGGGGAAAGAAATCTAAAAACACTACATTCTGTCCTTGTGTCACAGAGGCCCTGAACTTCCAGCACAAACTGGATGAGACGACAAAGCTGTTGCTGAACCTGCAGGAAGCTCAGAGGGAACGTCTGAGCATCAAACAACCTCCAAACATGATCTACCTACTGGCCCCGACAGCCAAGGAGATGGAGCTGTGTAAGAACATCAGTCCTAAAAACAAAGTCTGCAGTATTCCTGTCACTGTGTGTGTAGCTCCCCTTCCTCCTCTCAAGGTGGAGATATGAACCAAACTGGAAGCTCAGTTTGAGTTCAAAACAATGGTAGAACAACATTGTTTTATACTATGTTCCTTAAAAAAGATCTGAAAAGGCATTGAATTTATTCTAATTTTAAACCCTTAATTAGAATTAAAATGTCTGAAATCAGCCCTAAAATTGCTGAGACATAATAAGGACCTTTTCCCCATCATCAGACGAGTCCAGACAGAGACACTGAACCTGTTTTCATTAACGTGATAGTTGAAGAGACAGCATCAGGCTGGGCATCTGAGAGTTATTGCAGCTGTGCTAATGCTAATGCAGGAGCTAACTACAAATGTAACTCATTTACCTCCAGTCTGATGTGAACGATGCTGTTCCTCTTGTCCTCACAGCCGAGAAGGTGACGGGGAATCTGGCCGAGCTGACTGGTCAGGTGGCTCCCTGTGACGTCAGCAGCCTCTACGGCATCAGGAAAGCCATGGGCATCACCATCTGTCCAGAACCTTCAGAACCCTTTATGGACCTGACTACAGGTAACAATGT